AACCTCCCAGCAATCTCTACCCCCGAGATCCCCCTGCCCCTGACGCCCTCAACCTTGGGACCCCTCCAGAGTCCCCCTTGAGACACCATGAATGACCTCCCAAGACCCCTGCCCCCAGAAACACCCCACTGCTAAGAGCCCTCCCCACAACCTGAAGCCCCTCAGCCCCCAAGTATCCCACAACACTGAGACTCCCCCAAGACCTCTCCTCCCCTGAGAGACTCCCTGAATCCCGAGACCTCCTGGATCTCCCCAGACCACCCCACAGAGTCCCTGGAGACCTCCTCAGAGTTCCCCTCCCCCGACCCCTCCAATCCCAGTACCCCCCACCCGAGGTCCTCCACCCCCAGAGACCCCCTGGAAGACTCCATCAAGAGCCCCCCCCCACCAGGGAGGGCTGGGGGGGAGGGGGGAAGATACCTGTCCGGTCAGCAGGCGCCAGTGTGTGGCCAGGGCAAACGCCGGGTCCATGAAGAGCTCGGGCAAGCGCTGCCCATCTGCAATAGCCGCCAACCGCAGTCCCAGCAGGTGCCCGTCCACGCCCTGCCCTGCCAGCACCTGAACATGGTGGCCCAGACACCTTGTTTCCTTGCTGTCCATCCTGCCAGCCCCTGTCCTGCCCCGCCCCAGTGCCTAGTCCCCTCCCTGCCCACCTGCCATTTGGCCCAGCCCTGGACACTTGGGTTCCTCCTTGCCCAGACACCTGGGTCCTATCACCTTCTGCGCCCCTCCCCCAGTTTTCCAGGTCCCAGCCCCAAGGTGGAGGGGTGGGGGGTGTCTCACCTGGTCAGTGCGGTCACTCTGGCTCTGCACAGCCTCCCGGAGCAAAGCCAGGAGGTTCTCATCCTGGAGGGAGAGGAAGGGGGGGATGTTGGGGGGGTCCCACAGGGGTTCCCTGGCCATGTAGGGTGTCTCTGGCTCAGGAAAGGGAGGCATCTATGGCCATGGGGGGCTCAAAGGTGTTCTCCAGCCATGGGGTGGTTCTGGGGCATGGAGGGGTCTTTAGCCATAGGGGGACCCCGGGGGGGGCGGGGTTCGGCCATTGTGCTAAGTTTCAAGGAGGGTTTCTGGCCATGGTTGGGGGGGAGTCTACAGTCCACTGGCTAGAGGGGATCTGGGGTAGTGCTGGGCCCCGGGGCCATACCGAGCTGTGGGGTGCGTCAAGGGCGAGGGCCAGCGCAAGGCAGGGGGCGGCCGGCGGCCTGACCAAGTCCATGCGGCCCAGGTGGAAGCGGCGAAGCGAAGCCGTCTCGCCGGTGGTGCAGAGTGAGCCATGCGCACTGGAGGGAGGGGAGTGGGGCAGAGTTCAGGGGGGTCTGAAACTCCCTACAGCCTCTAGAGTCCTCCCAATATGCCCCACCACAGCCAGCTCAGGGTCTCCCCCCACACCCTAGGGAACCTCACAACCCCCCAGCACCCTGCAAACCCCCAAGAGTCTCTGCCAGTCCCACAAAGCCCCTCAAGACCCCCCCCAGGGCTCCCCTGTAAGCCCCCCATAACCCCCA